AAGAAGTTAAGAAGATTGAAGAATCTGTAGGACAATTGGCTGGAGATGCAAAACAAATTAACGGCACCATTTTTTAAAAATAGTTTTTTTAAAAAAATAAAAACTAATACAAACTGAAAAAAATAGAAGAATAAAAAGAAACAGTAGAAGGTGCAGAAAAAAAGGAAAAAAAAAAGGAAAAATAGGAAGAGAACTAGAAAAGAAAGAAAAAAATAAGAATATAGGAAAGGGGGAAAAAAGAAATATATAAAGAAGTGATTCCCACCTTCATCACAAGTATAAACAAATTTAATAACTTATCAATCTCTCTTAAAATACAACAAATTATCTCTTCTTCCCATATCCCATCTCTTATCTATAAACAAATCCATAAAGTGTCATTTCAGTCCTGATAGAAGTGATTCCCACCTTCATCACAAGTATAAACAAATTTAATAACTTATCAATCTCTCTTAAAATACAACAAATTATCTCTTCTTCCCATATCCCATCTCTTATCTATAAACAAATCCATAAAGTGTCATTTCAGTCCTGATATCAGCAAAAGTCCATTACAGGTTACCAGAGATAACAATGTATCTATTTTAATCTGATCAAATAAACCAACTTTATATTCCTTCCTTTTACTTCTAACAATCTTAATCTTTAGACCCTTCAAATGATGTCACTGAACTTGATTTCTTTTCATTTTTTCTTTGTCCCTTCTCACAAAATTCTTCAAAACTTTAACAAGCCTAACAATGTATCTATTTTAATCTGATCAAATAAACCAACTTTATATTCCTTCCTTTTACTTCTAACAATCTTAATCTTTAGACCCTTCAAATGATGTCACTGAACTTGATTTCTTTTCATTTTTTCTTTGTCCCTTCTCACAAAATTCTTCAAAACTTTAACAAGCCTTGTTTGTAAATCCAATATAGGAAAATTATCCAATAACATTCTTGGCTTGTTGTTTATATAACCCTTTTCAATTATTTAATTATTAAGACATCAGCCGGTTGCTTTTGTATGTCCAGTGTAACACCTTTTTCCATGTCATTCTTGTAGAAATCCACTTTCAACTCAGTCTTGCTCTTGTCAGGTAGAACTTGTTCCTCTTCCATAACATCTTTTAGACACAGTGTATCTATAGAAGTAGACACTATTAAAATTAACTTCAGGGTCCACTGTTCAAAAAGATCCTTCAACGTGTCCAATGTTAAAATATTTTGCTTCATTCTGTAATTGTAAACCAAGTTTAAGTGTTCTACTTTAATTTTTGGTTCTGTAAAATTAATTCTCCTGTAATCTTGGTTCCCTCTAGTTCCCTTTAGTATCTAGTTTTTAAAATCTTATCTTATTATGTTTCAAAACAAAAGCATTTTCCCATGGGAAGGATTCTTTATAATTAATTCCAAAATCTTATTTTAAATTTATTGGAACCCTTTGTAACTTTCTAAAATCAAAATTTCAATCACCATTTTTTAAAATTCTTAAACTTGTAGTTAAAACTTCTTTCACTAAGGATTGAAGGAAACTCACCCAGTGCTTTCAAGCTTGTTGATCCAAAGGTTCCCAATAGCTGAAGAGCAGTTAACAAGCAATTTCCAAAAGTGATCAGAAAAGGAAGTATGTGAACTTAGTGTCCTTTCAAAGGCACTGACCGCAGTTTAAGCAAGATGGCTATTCCCTTGTCTCCTAGAGCTCTAAACCCAGCAAAGAACGCTCTGTTACGGTCTCCTCATGAGGAGCAGCTGTCTGGAACACTTATGGATGTTCTCAAGTCCTCTCTTGTCTGGAGAGGTATTATCGAAGAGCCGGTCTACTCACCAGCTCTTCAATATGCCACGGTCATCAGCTCTGCTTTTTGCAGAGCCATCTTCAGTCTGCCATTTCTTCCCCAGAAGTCCCCAGAGTCTGCACCATTTCTGTATCTATACAATACCGAGCATGTGTTGCTATTGTTCTATTCTCCAGATTTTCTAAAATTGCATTGCTAATATTAATAACTAAGAAAGGTTTATCTTTGCATTTTTACAGTGCAACATGGAAGCCTCCATACTCCTGTACGGATAGAACCTACCCAACAGAATACTCAACTTTGTTTTTTTTTGGCGATTCATTGGCAATTATGTGTATTAAATTAAAACAGGGATGCATCACTTGGGGGCATTTGCATTCCAAAAGACATTTCAGGGATCCTATTGTAAGAAGAGAATAAGTCCAGGAGAAAAAAGAGAAATTGGACCAAGACAAAGAAATGGGCAAACCCAGGACAAAAAGTTAATGTTATTTGAATGCAATTCAAATTTATATCTAATTAAACATAGTTAATATGATTGCTCCCCATGTATTTAATTTCCTTCTGTCACATTAAAAACTACAGATCAGTATTTTGTAGCCTTAAATTAGAAGGAAGCAAGTATTTTAGTGGGGAAATGCTGGAAATATATTGATATGGCAGCAATATCAATAGATGCTCAGAATATGCATTTCCACATAAAGCTTTTCCTGCACTTTGCCCTTTCTTTGGGGTATCTTTCCATTGGCTTATTAAGGAGATAACTGCTCCCAATTGCAGAAACCAAGACTCAGCATTTTCATACAGAAAAAGAGTTTTGTGCTGCTTTAAAGACTCACATATTTATTATTACTAAGGTAACAAGGCCTCCTTGCTGAGGTGTGTTTGTCATACAAGGAAGGGAAGAGCTGGTGTATTTTTGAATGCCTCTGGAAAATCGTGCTCTGATAATTATGTTATCTTTCTTGCAGTTCTGCACAAGGGGAGCAGAAGAAATCTCAGTGTTCTGGTCATGATGCACAAAGCTTAGACAACCTTGACAAAAACAGAGATGGTGCTTCTTTGGTCAGGCCAGCACTTTCTGTTGGAGCGTTGAGCCCTAGTGCCAACAGAAACACAGGATGGGACTCTTGGTTGGCAAATCAGCCACTCCACAAACATCACAGTTTGGACTTCAATTATTGTTTTTGGACTGATCCACTTCTCACTTTGAAAATGGGTGATAAAACTGGGATAGGCTTAGATACCAAAGTGCATCCTACCCAGATCAAATCTACTCCTCTTCAATCAGTTTCACAGAAAACACTGCAGCCATTGACAAACATGGATTCAGGTTCTGGCCAGTGTGGAGGCTTTCAACTTGACTCAAGCCTTTCCAGCAAGTTGTCAAACAATACCCCGCACTGCAAGCTCAGGAATTTGTGCCACCAGCACTGTATATGGTCATCAGAAGACCCTTACTTTTCTTCTCTCTCATCAGAAGAACCTTGTTCCCCAGCACTTCCTGAGTCTTCTCTCAGTCCCCCTACAACAGTTTCTTCATCATTGTCTTTGGCTACGGCCTTTGCAGCCCAGTCCTTGGAGAGCCCAGAGCCCAGCTGTTCATTGGAGGGTATCCCTCCAGCCCAGGATACCCACCCTTTGGATGCAGAGGAGTCAGTCTGTCAGTGTAAGTTTATGCAAGGTTGCAATATTATTTCATTTCTGCAATTTATATGCTGCTCAATTCGAAGAAGGCTCTGAGCATCTTACAAATTCAAAAATAAAATAAAATTACAAGAGGAAAAAAAAATAACTGAACCCCCAAACCAACAACAAAATTTTTTCCTAACCATTAATGCACCAAGGGAAATAGTCTTAGCAGCAATAATTGTTTGCTACAGGGAAAGAACTCACCACAGCATCAATCCCCAATGGCTTTTTCGAACAGCTGTGTCCTGACAGCTCTCCTGAATGCCAACAGGGCTGGTGCTAACTTGACTTCAGGTAAAGCACTGTTCCAAAGAGAGGGACAGCTACAGAAAAGGCATACCCTTGTGATTCCTGATCAGGACAATCCCTCAAGGATTTCAGAGGATGCTGATAGTTGATAGCCCTCCGTACTGGGTCTTATTGGATGGGCAGAAATACTGGGAGAAGATATTTCCACAGGTATCCAAGACCCAAGCCATGTAGGTATAAATATAGTATAAATATTAGGAATCTAAGTGGAAAACTAACAGCTTTTCTTTAGGGAAAATTTACATTGCTTTTGAGCCTTTTTCTTCAATATATATGTTGACAATTGTTAAGAGAGGCATTTGGAATGTGACTGAGCATACTGACCAAAATCATAATATGTATTTTAGTATTATCTTAGACCAGAATTCATACATACATGAAATACAACCATAAAAGAGATTACATACGATGGAACATTAGTCCGATCCCTCCATAGTGAAATGAGTCCCACATGCTAAAGAACAGTGTCATGTAACTGCTTATGCTACGTTTGGGATTCCATTAACCAAAAACAATAGATATAAAATTCATCTGGGTGGCCTGGCATATTTGCTATTAGAAGCTGTAACAGCCTTAGCTGATAAATAAAATCTGCAGTGTAAGATCACATGTTCTGTCAATCTGACCCCCCCCCCCGCTTCGTCCCAAGCCAAGATAGGTTATCAAAAAAGGAAAAAAAAAAAATTTTTAATAGAAAAAAAAAAAAAAAAA